AGTATGATTTATAAATTTTAATTATGAATGATTTCTATAATATTTTCAATAAGTTTTATGAGTGATTTAAGGTATGAACTGCCCAAGTACGATTCTTATGATGATGAATTTTTAAGATTTATGATTTTCAAAAGTTGATTAATTAATGATTTTATTATGATATACAAGTTCATTGTATGATGCATTGAGAGTTGTAAGTACATTTGACATGCCATTAAGTTGAGTACTTTCCAGTTAAGTTATGGTACATTCGTGTACATTATGATTTACACCGTTGGTGCTCATGTTATGATTGCACTTAGAGTGCATTATATGTTTCACCTAAGATTGGCATTGTGATGTACCCTGTGCGCATTTTATGTTCTACTCACGTACTTTGTGTTCTCATAAATATGCATTGGGCTATGAAAGTAAATATGAAAAGTTAAGAAAAGTATCTGAAAGGAAAGAATATGAAAGTAAAAAAATTATATACGAATGAAAAAGAAATATGAAATAGTTGTTATATCTAATGTTAATTTACAGAATTTTGATAAAAGAATGTGATGGTGATTTTTAGGTTTTCTGAAGAGGAAATCGCCTTAAATAGCTTGGTTTGAAAGTTTTAATGATTTTTCATTAAATTACATTTCTTTTTATGTCTTAAAATATTTTATTGCAATTTATGTTTTAACTCACTTTAGTTGTATAACTGTCTCACTAAGTTTTACTTAGAGCATGATGATTTTAATGAGTAGGTTTGAATAAAGAAAATGACGTGAAGTGAGGAGCTTTTTGAGCATTTTTTGGGAAATCAAACATACTGACAGTATCAATAAGACATCCTATCTTTGACTTATTAGTGCATGTATATTATATATGTTCGATTACTTTATCGAATTTATTTTAAAAGGGCCTGTAATAGTCATTTATGACTATTTTAATTTTGCCTATTTTAGTTATAATCATATTTATGAATGAATAGTATAAATGTTAGGTTTTAAATGGTTTTTAAATCAACTAATATTTAGGTAGTTTTATATAGTTATAAAACAACACTGAACTGCCTAATTGTTGTGTAAAATCAGTTTTTTAATGATAAATTATTATTTTATGAATATATACTCTTAATAAAATAGGTTTAAAGTTGATAAAGAAATGTTTTACACTGAAACGAAATTTTCAAGCAATTACGTTCAAGGAAAGTTCTGAAATGTTAATGTAACATATTTAACTCGTAATTCTAGACGTATACGGGTTATGGTGTTACAGGGTCGAATCGAGTTTTTTATAGTTTATGTTTGGGTCGGGGTGGGTTTAGGTTTAGAGTGAAAAATATACAATCGATCTGATGCCAAAAAATGTAATTTTTACTTTATATTTAGGGATAATTGTAATAATACCCTTATACATATATATTAAATTCTTATTTTTATTAAATAAAAGTAATATTTTTTTATAAATATATTATTTTGTGTTTAATTGGATAGAGGGTGTATAATTTTTGGATCGAATTCAGAACAGATGGAATATACATAATTTTGGGTTGGATTGTGTTGATTGAAAACCGACTCAACCCGACTTATCCCTGTCCCTAAGCTCATGGGACAATATTGTGATTCATTTGGGCTTTAGAAAATTGAATAAAGGTTTACGCCCAAGTTTATGTCGAAATTATTGTCTATTAGTCCTCCATTGATTGAAGACTAAGGGGTTGTTTGTTTACTTTAGAATGATTAAGCGCTGAATGATTCAAATATTGAATGATTCAGAGGTTTTGAATGAATTAGCTCTGAATGTGACATGTTGTTTGATAATGGCTCTGAATCATTCAGAATGTACTTTGATGTTGAATCATTCAGCACTGTTTTGCTGAATCAGTCAGCACTGAACAAACACGCTGAATGATGAACGGTTCAGCATTCAACGCTGAATTATTCCATTCGGAGCCAAACAAACATCCCCTAAGTCCAAGTCCACAATTATAGTGGTAAGTTGTACCAAAAATTAAGGTTAAACACTGTCTAACTCATAAATCCATAAATTTGTAATGATCAGACCTGTTGCATGCATGGTCATCGCCCATGCTCATATATTTCCATTATATATATAGCTTTAAGCCTAGAATGAAGGTTAAATGAGTGGTTTGGCGTAATGGAGTGATTTCATTTGACTATGTTGTGCTGGTAGCATACACAAATTCAATATATGCAAGAATCTAGCTTCGACTCAGTGTTCCTGATTTTTGCTCCCCTCATCATACAAGCTTTGAAATCACACCTTCAGTTTTATATATAAACGATTTCAAACATTTAACATTAAATGCTCGTACCCTTGATAATCTAGATGCTCGAACTCCTAACCTCAAGAAATAATAATAATTTCTTTATCACTGAAGTCCATCAATTCGTGCATGATAACATAGTGTTTTTATGTTTTGAATTGTTCTGCGGATTGATATTAAGGCCATAGGTATGACTTGACAATAAAATAAAGGGTAAAATACACAAATGGTACCTCAATTATTGGGTAATATTTTTAAAATTTTTCGACTATTAAAAAATTACAAAATGGTTCTCCGACTATAGAATGTTATTTTGTCAAGTCCTTTGACAATTAAAAGTTACAAAATGGTCTCTTGACTATTCACTTTCCCACAAACTCGCCCTTTTTCGTTAAAAAAATTAACGGTTGTCTAAGTTGGACGTTAACATGATGTCTGGGATATGATGGTCGTTTGAGATTTTGGGATCAAATTTTATCATATCACAGTCACCAGGTTCGCATTTAGCTCATAATACTGTTAATTTTTTAAAGTAAAAGGATAAGTTTGGAACATAATGAATAGTCTGATGACAATTTTATAACTTTTAATAGTCAATGGACTTAATAAAACAATACCCTATAATCGATGCACCATTTGTTTACTTCGCCCTAAAATAAATAAAACAACTCTTTTAAAAAGTAGTTTCTTCAACCTGCTCTTGGAGATTATATATTTGAATGGTAATTATTGTCGCCGTTAGCTTGCCGGTGCCAACTGCCTAGCCTCCACCAAAGCCATCGAATTTTCAAATATTGGGAATGCTTGTCTTGAATCAATTGGTCACATTTGTAGGTATTGACTTGCTTTCAATGAGATTATTCAAAGGGTTCAACACGTTTTTTTTAAAAAAAATATAGAAATTATTAGTTTGGTTAAAATATAAGGATTAATTCCATAATTTAGATATAATAGATGGACTAAAGACAGCATTTCTCTAACATATTTCATCTTATCCAATTCCACTCTTCATGGATTTTTGGAATCTAAAATATAAGGATTAATTACACTTATCCAATTCCATTCACCCATTTATTATTAGTAAAAAAATATGAGAGAATATTTAGAGAAATTAATTTAAAGACGAACTAAGTGGCCTAGTGGTAAAAAAATTATTGATATTCTTTGACTACTCGAGTTCAAGCACCATAGATGTCAGGAGCGTGAGTTCAATGTCAAAAGATTGAGAGTTGGAGTTGTCTTCGAATATATACCGCCATGTATTTACGTCAGATTAATCAAAAAAAAGGAAATTAATTTAAAAGAGTTAAACCAATTTATCTTAATGATTAAGGAATCATTGTTGTTCATAAGGTCCCGGATTCGAACGTTAGGAACTATAGCAAGGTGATTGAGTATTCAATCTCAAATGATTAAGAGTATATTTGGAACTTCATCTTTTAATATTTTAATATATAATTTTTATATTATTTAAATTACTTTTTACTCATAAATTTTAAAATATATAATATTTAAAAGTATTAAATTTTATATTTTTATTATATGTTATATCGACAATAATATAATTTGAATTAAATTCATATAATTTAATCATTATAAATTTAGATGTATTTAAAAATTCGTTTCTCATTTAAATGTCATGAGTGTTATTACAAAACATAATATATACATTTTCTTCTGTTTCATTTTTCAAACTTTAATTTATATTTTCTAGGGTAAATTACGAGTTTAATATTTAAATTATCAATTTTGGTTCGTTTTATTACTTAAACTTTTAGTTTTTTTAAAATCATATATAATGTTTAGTTTTTGTTTTATTTTAGTACACGTTAAAAATTTAACGTGTTTAATACTTAAACTATCAATTTTGTTATATTTTAGTGTCTAAAATTTCATTTTTTTCAAAACTTAACTTTAAGTTTTTAACGGATACTAAAACGAAATAAAAATTAAATTTTAAATATAATTTTAAAAAGTTAAAATTTTAATAATAAAAACTGACAGTTTAGATAATTACGTGTAATTGAACCTATTTATGATGCGATAACAGTACTTGAATTAAAATAAATGTTAAACATGGGAAATGGAAACTTTAGGAGTAAAATTATGTTTCGGGGCAAAGACAAAGGGAGCAATTGGATTCAAAACGTGAATGGGAGAGAGCTGAAAGTGGGGACCACGCTTTGTTTGAACGGTAAAAAAGAACCGAGAAAGAAACAAGGTAAAAAAGAAATAGCCAAAAAGGACTTATAATATATACTTTTGAAAATAATCAATTTGGTTCTCATATTATTTTTTCTTTTAATGTGACCCTTTAACTTAGAAAATAAATTTAATGTGATCCTTTGACCAATATTTTCTGTCGCTAACTGTTATGGTGCTGGCGTAAAGGTCCATGGTGCTAATTTTATAGTTCATCTACCATGTTTGAGTTATCAATTTAGCTCATTTACTATGTTATCCGTCACTTTATCAAATCATCGTGAATCATCACGTCAACACCGCAGATCACCACATCAGGTTGTAATGATCAACGACATAAAAAAATTGGTCAAAGGGTAATATTAAAATAAAAAAATAATACGAGAGCCATAATGATTTTTATAAAAGTACAAGGGTCTCTAATATATTTTTACCAAATAATTACTGTAAATTTGTTGATTGTCATCAACACCCCATCACCACACCACCAACCCAAACAAAAAAAATAAAACAAAACCAAGCAAACTTCTCAAAGCCACACTTAATCCCTCCTTTAATTTCCCCTCTGGAAAACAAATCTTCAGTACGGCCATCGTTCACCGTCAAAGATCCATTTTAAGATCCGGAATCCGGGCACATATTTTCCCTCTCATGATTCCACTTCACCCGCCTGTTTATTCCCCAATTTCTTGACCGGCAGGTAATTTCTTCCATCTACACTCTGTTTATTTTTGTTATTTGGTTGTGAATCTAATGGTTGCCGTGTTCGGCTATTAGGTGATTTTTTAAAACAATTTTTTGGTTATTTTTGTTTAATCTTTGCTTGATCTTAGATCCTTATTTCCTTCTACGGCTGCCTATATTTTCATCTTTTTTTTTCACAAGAAATTACGGGAAAGGAAACATCTCTTATTGTAAAGTAACCTATAATGAGCTTAACACGCCAACGTTAATGAGCTAAGAAGAACAACGGTCTAGGATTTATCTAATTTCATGCATCATTCGTATTCAAAATGATGTCCTGTGTGTTTCCTTTTAAATTCATGTTAAAATTTTCTTTCGAAGGATTAGAGATTTAATTTTTTAAAGTGTTATTTTGATGTAAGAAATATTGCTGATTTTTGTTAGGATGAACCATTGACATTTATATTAACGTGTTTTTCAGGTAACTCATTGAGTTTTATTTTGGTTGATTTAAAAAAGCTTGATATCCTACAGAGGAGGATCTGTGGAGATTCTTGTTGTTTGCTTTTAGTTTAGTCCAATGGCTTCTATAGGTATGGTGCCTACTTCCGGATTAAGAGAGTCTAGTGGAAATACAGTTGGTGTTGATAGATTACCTGATGAGATGAATGATATGAAAATCAGGGATGACAAGGTATGTTGATTTGTTTTCGTAGTTTGCTTTGCTTTTATTGGATCGGACCAGCTTTATAAAATCTATTACTATGTTGCAGGAAGCGGAAGCAACCATAGTTGACGGTAACGGAACTGAGACAGGGCATATAATCGTCACCACTATTGGGGGTAAAAATGGCCATCCCAAGCAGGTTAATTTTATTATTTTCTCCCCGTGAACTAGAGTTTATTGGGTCTGATTTTCGGATGTCTTATGCTTCTCTAACTTAACCTTTCTTTCATTTTCAGACGATAAGCTATATGGCCGAGCGTGTTGTGGGGCATGGATCGTTTGGCGTAGTGTTTCAGGTACACATTGATTTCTTCCTTTTCATACTAAACTTGAAGATATGGTCATGTTTCATATTTTAAGTTTAGTGTTAGGTTTTTATACTGAATTGCCCGTGTTGTATCTCAGGCTAAATGTTTAGAGACAGGCGAAACTGTTGCTATTAAGAAGGTTCTTCAAGACAAAAGATACAAGAACCGTGAATTGCAGACCATGCGTATTCTAGACAACCCTAATGTTGTCTCTCTGAAGCATTGTTTCTTTTCAACTACTGAAAAAGATGAGCTCTATCTTAATCTGGTGCTTGAGTATGTTCCGGAGACTGTTCACCGTGTTATCAAACATTATAATAAGATGAGCCAAAGGATGCCACTGATATATGTAAAACTCTATTTTTACCAGGTATCAGCTTGGTTAAGATATTTACTTTTGCTATCTTATTTCTATCTTTTACATCTCTATGGAAACAAGAACCTATGATGCCATAATATGCAACCCTTGAATGAAATTGGTAATATTTTCGTCTTTGTGCAGATTTGCAGAGCACTTGCTTACATTCATAACAGTATTGGTGTGTGCCACAGGGACATTAAGCCTCAAAATTTATTGGTATGACAAGCAACTTGATAGATGCTTTCTGTTTGGTGGTTACTAAAGCTATATCAGTTCTAAACATTTTATGATTATGGACAAACATTGTCCGGAATTGGTTTGGTGGTTCAATAACTTCGAAAAGATAATTGAGTTTGACAAGGGAAGAAACAATCCAGCATTCTGGTGAATATATGCATGCTAATTTATTATAACGTGAAATCTGAAACTTATAGTGAAAAGCTTTGCAATCTCAAAATTTTAAACGGAATGAGTTTGTAATAAATACACACAAAGATATTGACTCCATGTTGTCCCTTGTTGCTAAGATACGTCTTATTCATCATTGTGTACATTTACACTAAAAAGCCTTCTCTTATTAATACGATTATTCCTGTTTCAGGTCAACCCACACACCCACCAGCTAAAACTCTGTGATTTTGGAAGTGCCAAAGTTTTGGTATGTACGATAGAATTGTAATTTTTTTTTGCTTCTACCTAATTGTTCACGATCCTAATTCTTTTTATTTAACTTGGCCAGGTAAAAGGGGAACCAAACATATCTTACATCTGTTCTAGATACTACCGAGCACCTGAATTAATATTTGGTGCAACTGAATACACTACAGCCATTGACATCTGGTCTGCTGGCTGTGTTTTGGCTGAGCTATTGCTTGGGCAGGTAGATGTTTCCCTGCATATATTTTGACTTCATGTGTGTGTGTTTGTTTTTCCTTTTTGTTACTTAACAAATTTTATTTTTGTGACTACAGCCTCTTTTTCCTGGTGAGAGTGGAGTAGACCAGCTTGTTGAGATTATTAAGGTATATTTAGTTCAAAATTTGCATCAACAATAGTTTTATCGTGACTATTAAAAAAATTGTTCGGTAAACATTAAGGATGGAAGATATTAAACTGTCTAAGCTCATTCGATACCAGTGGCTTTTAAATAACCTGTGGCATCATTAGCACTGGATTTCTGATCTATCCCACACCTGTGATTTTTGCAGGTTCTTGGCACCCCGACAAGAGAAGAAATAAAGTGCATGAATCCTAACTACACAGAATTCAAATTTCCCCAAATAAAAGCTCACCCGTGGCACAAGGTAGTGGAGATCACATTTCTTTAATTTTTTTCGAGAATTATATGTAATGAATGCCGTGGTATTGATCAATGTATCATCGGTATGCAGATATTTCATAAACGTATGCCTCCTGAAGCTGTGGATCTTGTTTCACGACTATTGCAGTACTCTCCAAACCTTCGTAGTACAGCCGTAAGCATTGACCTTTTACACCTCTGTTATCGGTTTCCTTCTCTGTAGTCTGTCGTCTTTAGTCACATTTCTTTTCTTTGTTGAACATTTCTAATTTGTTAATGAACTATCTTATCGAGTGTTTTTACTTTCTGCGCAGGCTGAGGCTTTGATCCATCCCTTCTTCGACGAGCTACGTGATCCCAACACCCGCCTACCTAATGGCCGATTTCTTCCTCCACTGTTCAACTTCAAGCCTCATGGTAAAAACCAAGCCAACATATGTTTCTCTACTGTTTTCGCTAACTTCTTATCGAACCAGGAAACTGATGATCATTGCCGTATTTTCAGAACTGAAGGGAGTACCCGTGGATATGGTAGCGAAACTGATCCCGGAGCATGCTAGAAAGCAATGTGCCTTCCTCGGATTATGATGGGACTCCTTTCTTCTTAATCTTCTTGACTGCATCTTGCAGAAATCTTGGGCTATTGTAGAGTAGTTTGTTTCAGTTATATGATAAAGAAGCCGTGTTAGGTATCTTCCTCATCCTCAATGTTCATTTGTTCCCATTATTATTATTATTATTATTATTATTATTATTATTCCCTTCCCTTTTTGTAGAAAGCAAACGTGAGATTACCTTGCATAAGACCTTAATGAGTATGTTGATTGTTGACCCTTTCATGACAGATTGTAACGCCATATTGAATGGTTTCAATGTTGTTGGTTTTTTTTTTCTACTAAAAGTTTTTGGTTTATAGAAGAAATTGCACTATAAATGTCATGACAATGTAATTTAGTGCAATGGTGAAATTGCACTATAACCCCTAAAATTAATAATTCCATTATGGCCATCCTAAATACAATTTTGCCTCACCATTGTTGATATCTGAATTTGACTCTTGTCACATATTTTAATACATTTAAGTGATGGTAATGAAATTAATTAAATTTTAAATATTAATATGAAAAAAATCCTAGATTAAAAATAGGGTATGGGTGCTGCAGTGGTCGAAATCCACTGCGAACCTAAAAAATTCAGCAATGAAAACGTGTATTGGGCAGTTGCACATAGCTGGATTTAAATCCGATCTGGTTTTTTCACTAAGCTAAAAAAATCAGTTCGGATTATAACCGGTTTGGAGGGCCGGATAATGTAACCGGTATAACCGGTTTCGGTTGGAAAAAAACCGGTTTTTAATCCGGTAAAAAATCTGGTCATCCAACTTTTTAAACCTCATACCGGATTTTTTTCCGGATAAAAAACTAATTTTTTATCCGGTTTTTTTTAAACCGGTTTTTAATCCGGTAAGGACGTCTAATTTTTTCCCAAACCGGTTATACTATCCGGTTTTAAAATATCCGATCCGGTTTTAAAAAAACCGATTTTTCCCAAATTCGATTTCGGATATTTTTTATGCAAAATAGGATATTCAAATTTTTTGTGCACCTCTATTGGGCAGCAGCACTAGCAAGAAACATAATATCAAAAAATATTTATAACGTTAGATTAGATAATTATTTTAAATTTAATATTTTATTTTTAGATAAAATAAATATTGATTAATAAAAGTTGATAATTGACCAACCGATAACGTTTGTCGTTAACATAACATTATCATATCATCTCTCGACACGTAATAAATATCACATCAATATTTTCTTAATACGTATAATATCATCAATTTTGACCTATAATATGTATAACATCATTTTTTTTACAAAGTAAAGGATGAGACTTTAGCAACTAGAGGTCATTCTTCTCCGGGCCTGTCTGTCCTTGTGGAGAACCGAGTGAAGGGCAGCTGGCGGTGAATGCAGTTCAGTCAAACCTACTGGAAGCGTGAAACCAACTTGGGCAAGGGCATCAACAACTTCATTGGCTTCAATACATATAAGGGTAAAGTCGATCATCAAATTCCTCTGCAACAGCTTATTCTCCGAATAACAGTTGGTTCGTACTTACGAGTAGGAAGGGTGAGCATGTCGATAGCTTCTGCATTATCCATCTCAACCACAACACGCCTAACCCCTTGTCTCCAGGCTATACGCAAACCATCGAGAAGCCCTCATAGTTCGGCATGAAGCACCGAACTCCTCCCGATGTTACGACTAAATTCAAAGATCCAATCGCCGTTAAAGTTTTTGATGAGCCTACCACCAGCTGCTGCCATCGAACTTTGGTTAATCGCACCATCTGTGTTCAGTTTCATCGTTCTATTAGATGGGAGCTCCAGGTAAGACTCCTAGTTGTCCGGTACATAAGCTGAGTGTATATCTTTGGTCTGGCATAAATAGACTGAGTTCAAGATCGAGACGTCTGGATAATGACCGCCGACGACCATCTGACACCGTCAAGTAATCACATAATTATTTTAGATACATGATATATATTATGTCATCATTTTAAATATATAATAGTCCGATATTAATGACATACATCAATCATTAATCAATTAATAATTTACATTAGATCAAAATACATTTTATTTCAAAATAAAAATTAAAAGACTATAAGAATTAGGAAAAAAAGTAGTTTTATTAGATGAATTTCAACATTTTATCACTAAAAAACACTATTATGACTTACGTCATTATAGTTAATCACTTAAGGCAATATTATTTCTGCCCTTTACGTCGTCATGTCATCGAGGCATCGAGTCGGATTTTTTTTCCAGAAAATTTCGAGTTCGAATTGAGTTTTTTAAAAGTTATATTCGGGTCGGGTTCGGGTTTAGGATGAAAAATATCTGATCCGAAAGAAATTATAATTTTGTCTTATATATTTAGGGATAATTACAATAATACACATCTATATATTATTTTCTTTCAATTAAATCCTTATTTTTATTGAATAAAAATAATATTTTTTAATAAATATATTGTTTCGTGTCGAGTTCAGATTTTATTTCAAAAATATCAGGTCGGATTCGGATCGGGTGGAATGGGTATATTTTTAGGTCGGGTTCGGATAAAGTGGATGATTTAAATTTTTTCGAGTTGAGTCGGGTGGATCGAAAATCTGATCCATCCCAACCCATGCCATCCCTAGTAATATATATATAAATATATTAATTTGGCAAAAATAAAGTTAAATGATTAAAATACATAAAACGAATCGATCATTTTTTCCAATTGTGAAATTCCCGTCCTCTACATGCCAAAGATAAAAAGAAATACAAAAAGTGAAGACAAGAAGAATCTAGCTCTCCATGACTCTTTGTATTTGAGCTTTTATTTAAACTATAAACTAAAATTATACGTATATGAAAATATATACGTACATATTTAAATTAAAATGATAAATAAATACATGTATTTAACTGTATGATGATTTGTAAAGAGAAAGGAGAACAATAAAATGGGTCAAAGAAGAGTTTCTATGGAATAAATGGATGCTCACGTTAGCCAAAGAAAAGCATTTTACGTGTTGAGATTTAATTTGAATAAACCATTTTTTTTTGTTAAACTTTACTTTTAGGCAAAGCAATGAGGCCCATCACCCACTAAACCATCCATGAATATATATATATATAAATAAGAGTATCATTCAGTTATATAATGTAAAACTCTGAGTTTTATATAGATTTAAGACCGTTAGATGAGCGAAAATAGATGTCCTAGATTAACAGTATGATATGTGAAGATAGTCACTGGGGAAAAAAAACAAAGAATCAATCTATTACAATAGTCTCATGACGGTTTTATGAATCATTTTATTTTATAATTTTTTCTTGTTTTAAAATATCACATCACTAGTTTTTTTATTAAATGATTGTGACATGATTTATTATGATCTTTGTTGTATTTTTTTTATCTCTTTTTATCTATTTATTTTTTTAAATATTTTAATTTTTGGTTATTTTATTTAATATTTTTTATGTTGTGTTATTTTTATTATTTTTTATGTTGTGTTATTTTTATTATTTAATAGAAATTTGTACTTCATAATTGTTTTAGAAAAAAAATAATCATGGTTTTATTATATAGTGATTAGTTTGTGATAATAAATGAAAAGTATTGAACCCGTATTATTAAGTCCCTATTCCCATGTATGATGTCATTTTGGTCCTATAGGTTTAAAATAAATTTATTAAAATATTTATGTAAAAGATATAAGAGGTTTTTGTATTTTAAAAAAAAAATTAATGTAGCATTCATATTATTGTTTCAAAGTGGTCTTCTAACTCATAAAGAAACTTAATGTGATCATTTGATCAACGTTTTTCGTCGTTGATCGTTATGATACTGACGTGACAGTTCACAGTGTTGATGTGGCGATGCACGATACTGACGTGGCAGTCCAAATGTCATGTTTGAGTTATCAATTTAACCCATTTACCATGTTATCTTCCAAGTTATCAATCGCTATTGGTTGTCACATCAACACCGTAATGGTCGTTTGAAAAAACATTGGTCAAAATGTCACAATTGAATTTATTTTATGAGTTAGAGGACCGTATCAAGAAAAAAAATAATACGAAGATACTTCTGCTAATTATTTTTGTAAGTACAAGGTAAAGGTGGTTGTAGTGGACGTTCAAAGGGTGGTTAGTAATTTATTTAGGAGAATCAATTTATCAAATATATTAAGAGAATCAACAAAATCATAATTCACTTATTTTAAGTATAAATCCAATGTTTTAAATTAAAAGAAACAATAATCTTAACAAGAGAGAGAGAGAGTTCGATGAAAAGGAAACTCATGGAAGCAAAAACAAAAGACAACGACGACAACAACGATGACGATGAAGAAGAAGAGGAGAAGATCAACGCCTTCTTCACTTTGGTTAGAAATATTCAAGATGTTCATAACCAGATGTTGATTGGGTCTCAAGTTACAAAGGATCAGAAACAAAAAGCAGCAAAGGAGAAATCAACTTGGACCCCATCTTTCCAATGGGAAGACTTCGTTGATCAGGATCATCCGCATCTCTCAAATACTACTACTACTACTATTGCAACTGCCACTCTCCCTAGTTCTTCCAACAGCAATGGTGAACAAAAGAGGAAGACAAACGAACATCAAGACTTAGATCTCAACCTTTCCCTTTGAAGTCTGGTTTTTTTGTTACTTTCTTTTCTGTCGTGTTCATCATCATGTTCGGTTTATCTTTCAGTTGTCACCATCAGTCATTCTTCTTCCTTTTTTTTTCCTGGGGTTTTTAAAAATTGCATATTTAAATAAGCTGTCATGGTTTTCGTTCCATTGATGATTGTCTGCTTGCTTTTTGAGGAATTCATGATTGAGTTAGCGTTGGCCACAAATGGTTATATGGTCAACTGCCACATCTAATCTTCACTCAGATCAGCCAAAATTTCAGTGTTTTCCTCACACTGATGACGTTGAGCAATCTTTTGCTTTTTGGACAGGATCTAAAACAACATGATGGGTTAGCTTCATGTAATAATAATGAGAAAGAAATGGACAATGATTCCCATCAAAATGTCTGCAATTGAGAGTTGACTCTTGTGTCGTTTTTCAATGTTTGGTCGAAATGACAAGACGGTTCTCAGTTAGAAAGCTGCAGCAAAGATTATTCAAGTCCATTTTCAGGTGGTAAGCATTTTCCATTATGCACTTAAAAAAGGGTAATGAAAACTTGTAGAAATTCATTGTATTTATGAGTAGGGATAGACACTCGAATCCGGGTTTCAACTTAATTTGATTTGATTGAGTCATTTAAAAAAAAATTGGGTTTAGGTCAGGTCGGATCAGATAGGATTTTTAAGAGGTTATGTTCGGATTAGATCGAGTTTTTTAGAGGTTATATTCGAATCGGGTCGGGTTCAGGTTTATGATGAAAAATATCCAACCTAACCCTAAAAATTATAATTTTATCTTATATATTTAGGGATAATTGTAATAATACCCCTCTATATACTATTTTTTTATTAAATCCTTATTTTTATTGAATAAAAGTAATAATTTTCAATAAATATATTATTTCGAGTTGAGTTTGATTTTTATCTCAAAAAACGGATCGGGTGGAAGATGTATATTTTTCAGGTCGAGTTCGGGTCAGGTGGAGTATGTATAATTTTCGAGTCGAGTCGGGTCGATAAAAAATCCAACCCGACCCGACTCGACTCGACTCATGCGCATCCCTATTTATGAGTGGCAACATCAAACATCAAGTGATAGTATATTCGAGTTGAGACAGAACATGTAAACAATGTAACGGTAATGGATTTGACAGTATTCATCCTGTTATATATGTTTCTTGCAAGAAAAGCAAACGAAAGCTGTTGTTACAGATGAAGTTGGGGTTTGAAGAAGTAGAATTGGAGGGGAGAACATTTTACAGTGTACCCAAGCCAACCATTTAACACTCAAAATAACTGGGAAAATGACCAAACCATTTTAAAAGCTCTTTAACAAGAGATTTCATCAAAGCATTCAACAATGTTCCCTCTTAATCCGACGCTGGATTAAGAGGACTCTTTCCCAGATTAGATTGTCTTGGTTCCCCCGTCATTGGACTATGAGACCCTCTTGCCCGAGGGCTTCTTTCTCCTCTTAGTTCACCGAGACGTGGACTACTCGAGAGGCGTGGGCTTCGATGACTTCTCGGGTCGTTTTCCGGCGTAGCGGTGGAGCTCGTGACTTTGGGACTCGACGTATGCCTGAACTCGCCTCGGCTTCGGGTGATGACTTCATCTAGTATCTCACCATCCCCTGCGTATGATGTTCCATTTCCCAGCTCTGTCTCCTGTATGGGAAAATTATATATGAGTAATGATGATCGAAAAGCAACGAGAAGCCTAAAGTGTTTCGATCGACGAAGAAGCGATCTTACCGTGGCGAGATTAAACGGCAGAGCAGGCGCCTCTTCGTACTCGGCGGCATCCAAATCGTAAAGATGTGCCCCTTTGAAAAACTTGGGCAGGAAGTATTGTCTTACTGGTACTAAAAGCATGATCATCAATGGAAACATAACGCCGGCTATAGGAATCCACGTTAACCCGAAACATACGAGCAGATAAACAGTTTGAAAAACGGTGAAGATGGCAATTGTCTTGAATGGAACAGTCTCCACAAAGGTTGCATGTTGCTCCTCAAGAACTCTGCATGAAAAACATAAAACCTCTCTTACACTCCAAGACTCGAAACAAAAACACACAAATGAGCTAGTGGAATTGTCTTTACTTATATCTCCTGCTGGGTGCTGTGAAGAGCAATAAGATCCTTTCCCAGAATTGGTTACCCGGTAAGCTTTCGATCGCCATGAAGGCGAAGTAGCCCCACAGGACCGAAGTTGGAATCCTTTTGAGAATGGGCATTGCTGCAACACATCCTCCTACCATGGCGGCTTGAAGCAGGTTACTTAGACGCTGCTCTTTTACTTCGACCGGTAATAGATCATCGATCTCTTTCTCGATATCGAATAAAGTCTCGTCGAGAGGGGCATCGATGTTGCCCGAACATGTTGCGGCTTGAACGGTTGATTCTTTTAGTTCATACAGCCCCTGGTTAAGAAAGATTGAGATTCATTAACTAGTCAAAGCATAACAACCTGCATAATTGTGACAGCAAATAGTGAATTTTGTATTATTTATTTGATGGTGAAGTCATGTATTAGTCATCCAAGCACGCTAGTGAACGTTTTAAAATACTTTACGGATTTTTATATTCACCGCTGTCTCCTTGAAATTTTTAAAGTATAATATATTTTCATTGGATCTTACCCTTGCCGATGGCTCCTGGTAAACTAAAGGGGTCTGCATTTGTTGATAGGCTTCTTGCATATTCCCATACAATTGTCCCAAACTAGCATTCTTGCTCATGCTTTTCCGTGCCGTGGCAACGAGCCGGTTACGGAGCAGCTGCAGAACAACCGGAAATCGGTATCGGCGAAAAACATCGATGAACACCAGAGTGAAAACGAAAGTTTGAACGATTTGAGTACCTGGTGCTTCAGGGTTGCCAAGCTCTTGGTATGCATTGGAGATTGCGGAATGACCCCATTTGCCGGAGGGACACCAATGAGACCACATAACAATGTCTGTCACCAAGCAATCACCCGAATCCGTATTAAGGATCGAACCAAAGATGAAATTCAGATTAAGGATGGAGACAAGGAGGGAACTTGTTGCATACCAGGAATCCCAAAAGGAGTAGATCATAATGATAACTAGATGGTTTTCTCAAATTAAACTCTTTCTGTTGAGCTAGTTGAGATGCTATACTATGGTCAAAGTAATAAAGCACGGCGATCATTGTGGCTGGAATGAAGGCTCCGATAATGTAGACGACCGGAACATTCAGCATGTCCTGTCATATAGTTTTACATGTTTCTAGTGTCAGTTTATTAGTCCGGTAAGGAGACAGAGTATATATATGGTATGGATTGGCAATTGTACTTGGTTAAACATGCCTTGACGACTGTCCAATTTTCGTAAGCACCGGGGGACCAGGGATTCGGGCTGAAGAGACGACGTGGGATTCCTTTCGGAACATCTCTGGTGGGTATATAGGACAATGCTGTCCAAATCAGTACCATAAGGGGCACACCATAGTCTGCTATAAAGCTTCTAAGCCAACCTATACAACAAGAGATTCTTTTTCAGTTCTCAAAGCAATTGATGCCCCTAATATCTCCAAAACATGATCAAGTGACATTAACTCACCCGTCCCGTAGCGCCACGATCTAGCTTTCCGGCTTCTTAGTGCCGTGAGAAGAAGGCCAAATGACAGCACCAAAGCAAACATGCCATTGGCAAACCTCCATGAAGGTAAAAATTGCGTCGATTTCAGGTTCTCGTTATGTGGAATCCGGAACTCTTCCACAAGGCCCTGCAAATGAATTTCAAAAATAAGGTAAATCTTTCGCATTACAGATAAACACCAATAATCGTTCTTACCTTTATAGCTTGCTGCATGAACAACATAGCTATAAGTAGACCGAACAATTCTCCAGCGACGCGGGTAAACCTGTTGATAATCGAACAAGCTCCCAGGATAGAGAGCAAGAACAGCAAGCCTGCAGTCCATACACAAACCCTACAAAAATTAAAGAGAAAAAACAACAGGCAACTATATCAAATATAGCAGCCCCAACAAAACATAATCAAAGCAACATGTTTGATCAAAGAAAGGCAACAACAGCTCACCATCCGGTCCATGCTAGAAACTTGTCCCGACCCATATCTGGTCTGTCTTTAACAAAGTCAAACATGAATGTATACATAATGACAGTCGGCTCTGCTACACCTAATATCAGCAAGGGTTGACCTCCGATGATCGAGTGTATGACACCGCAGAGTGCCGTGGATGCCAAGGTTTGAACCGCCGTGAGAACCCCATCTACAGATCACATGGCGGATCATATGATCAATACATATATCATACATGTATGTATGTATTCCAGAAAAGATTTAAGATCATGTTATATAAAATATAAATACCAGTGTCTCTCTCAAGTTGTTCACCGAATGAAATGACAGGGATCGCAGAAGCGAAGAAAATGTAAGTGGTGGGAGCCAGAATCCTATAAGATAACAAAGTAGATTAATTATCATTTAGCCTAAAATACATAAAAAGCATAATAAATTTCTGCAAAAAAATACCTGAAGCCTGCTTTAAACCCGCCGGACCAGTCTTGCTTGTAACACATTAATCTGCCTTTGAGATCATTTTTTATGCCTCGGAAAGGCACAAAGGTCTCTTCCATGGCTACCTTTTTATCCCCTAAACGGTTGGCTAATTTAGTTCTCTCTTAAATAATCTGAACAACTGTTAATATGCAGGCTGTTAAACGTGAGGATCAAACAATTTACATGCTTAGCGAAGATAAGACTATGGGGGTGAAGATATGGAGTCAAAAGAACAATCAAATTCGAGAGAGACGAGTAAATTACATAATGGTGAGATGAAACATGAAAAGAAACGTTGAACACAAGAAAGGGTTTGTGTAGAAGGAGAATAAGGAAGGATCCGAATATATAAAAGCATGCTTGAAAGATGTGAAGTAGATTTGGTGAAGTGCCGACCAATGTTTACTCAGTTACTTTTTCATACAGTTGTCCCACCGATTTAAATAAAACAAAGACAAATAGCATCATATATATATATATGAAAGTTGATATTGAATACAAAATCCATGATGCAGTTGCAGACAAAATACGGGTAAAAACCGGGACTAAATTAGACTTATAAATTTTTAAGATGATGAAAATGCATTAAAAAAGTTTAAAATATATGATCATTTCAAAACTTTAAAAACTATTGTTCTCACTCGTTCCTTTGGTCCATCTCGAAAATGACAGTGACATTCACTGTTGCTAGTTGTATGCATAGAGGTGGTAAACGGATCATTCGGATCGGGTTTGTGTCGGGTTGGATAATTTTGAGTCTAAAATAAATTCAGTTTAATTTTGTTCGGATCGGATTGGATATAGTTTGTATCTAGTTCGAGTCTAAGGTGAATCGGATCAGGTCGATTATCGGGTCGGGTTAATTTTTGGGTCGGGTGATTATTGGATCGGTTGTTTTCTGGTTCGGATCAATATCAGATCGGTTGATTTTTAGATAGGGTCAATATTAGCTGAGGTCAATGCCATATTGGTTGATTTTTGGTTCGGGTTAATACCGAATTGGTTAGATTTTGGGTCGGGTCAATATCTGATCGGTTGGTTTTCGTTCTAGGTCAACCTTTAGATCAGGTCAATTCGGGTTGAATTGATTATGAGTCTAATCAAAATCAAGTATATATAGAATAATTGATATATACTTGTAAAAATATGTCTTCTTATCTGTTATTTTTATCATTTAGGTTTAATTTCAATTCTCAATCGTTCAATATTTTAGATTAAATCATCATTTAGAGATGATGATAATTTGACACATCCTATAATACGTGTTAGAATTATTTATCAAATTTATATTGATCTCGTATAAAAAGTTTATAATGAGAATTATTTGATAAAGGAATAATTTTTTATTAAAAATTTTGTTTCCAATTATAAATTTAATAATTTTATTAAATTTTAAAAAATAATACATAATTTTATTTGTTAAGTTTTAGTCGTAACATAAGTAAACTTTATATTATTTTTATTATAAATCTAATATTATTTCCTTTGTTTTAGCTTTTTTATATTATTTTTAGTATAAATCTAATATTTTAATGACAAGTAAGATAAGTAAACTTTATTTATTACTGTTTTCAATCTTACAGTTAGATTATTACTTACATATTCCTCTTAAACTTTCTATTATTTTATTATATATCTAATATTTTTAATAAATTATCGATTTTATTTAAATTAATTTATTATTAAAATAACTTTTATCGTTTAATAACTTTTATCAATTTCAATCTATTTGAGTTGCTTTCGGATCGGGTTAAAATTTGGTCCGGGTTTCTTTCGGATCGGGTTATTTTGGTTCGGTTTGCTTTCGGTTCTGGTTGATTTCGGTTTCGCTAAATTTTGGATCGGGTATAGGTCGGATATCGGATCAAATTTGATTATCATGTTCATGTTAATATCAGGTATTCGGTAGGATAAATCAGTTCGAATAATCAGGTTCAGGTCAAGTTTGCAAGGTCTATGTGTGCCCCTTTGATTTGGGACCATGTCATCATTCATAGGTTACGGAAGGTCGGGACCCATTGACATGTTTTTTTGCGTCTGGACTGTGATTTCCAACCATAGGTTCCACTGCATCACTATTATATATTATACATGCAAGCTTTGATTACGCCATTATCAATTTTCTTTAGCTTGAAATCCAAAAATGCGCTAGAAAACAGATAACAAAATTCAAAGAAAACAAGGGCCATGTTCCCTCCACCTTCTATTCACCAGTTATGCTTTCTCACGTACATTTGTTGACCTTTTCCAATAATCATATATTTTATTAATAATATTCATCCAAAAATTGTATCGTTAACATATACATATCTACCTTCACATATATCCAGTTGTTCATATATATATATATATATATATGGACAAACAATAGATTTTAGGTTAGAGACGAATCTACAAACAACTTATGAATAAAAATATAAAAAATATTAGAATTACATAAGAATTATGTATAGTCTTTAACATTTCTTTAAGTTTAGCTTGAGATATGATTGATTATCGGGTGAACAAATTTTTTAAATATTTATTTTAAAAAATTGAAAGATCCCATAATAATAATGATATAATAGATTAGAAGAACATGTACATGAATTATATATGTATATGGTGAGGTAACATAATGTGCTGTGAACACTATATTTCGGCCATATAATATATATATTTGAAGTCAAAAGCATGCTTATCTCTCTTAGAAGATAATACTTATCTTTGAAGTCAATTTCAAGCATCTCACCCACTTTCCATTAATAACATTGCCACCACCTAGTGTAACTATTGCTTCATAAAAAATAAAATAAAGACAAAGGTTAAATATCGAAAGGGATAAGATACTTAGTTTTAAAATAATAAAGATTTATTATGAAATTTGGAGAAGACAAAAGCAATTATGGATACATAAATTTATGTCAAGGGTACGAACTTAAGAAGTTATATTAAAAATTTTAGGGGTGTAGAGTTATAAAATTTTAGGGAGTGCGAAAGAAAAAAATATAAAATATAAGGAAATTTAAAAATTCTAGGGGTACGACGGCACCCCCAGCACCCACCTCGGTTAATCTCCAGACAAAAGTTCAATTTTACTTAAATTTAAACTGATACTAAATTGCTATTGAATCGAAAATTTTGAGAGGAATAAGAGCCCCTCCCACTTCCTTTATAGCTTCGTCCCTGACCCACGAAATTTAGTGTTTAAATAAAATGGATCCAAATGATTAAAGAACAAAAAGTTTATGTATAAATAGTTTCTTATATACTTTATTCAATCATTATTACATATATTTTTGGTGCAATTACATCATTTAATTTGTAAACAAAATGGTGAAGCAATTAGGATAGTTGTCCTCTTAAAAAATTTAAATTATCATATATTTTAGATATTTTATTTATATTTTTTATTGATAATTTATTTTTGCCCCTCCGGAATTTTATAAGTTCATTCGTCCCTAAAATTTTAAATATCCATCCCCTAGCATAAAATCATACCTATTAATCATATTCTTTTCCCTACTTCGCTACCTAATTTTTCCCTTCTTAATTTGGTATAAAAGTGAGTCAAGATGAACAATAAAGGAAAAAAATATGGTCCTTTGAATCCTAATTAGGAGGGTAAATGAACAGAGTGTTCGGTGAACTGTTCGTATAACATTTATGTTCGTTTGTTAAGCTAAATAAACGAACATGAACAAAAAAATTTATGTTCATTTAATAAATGAACGAATATGAACAGAGGTGTGTTCGATTCGTTTATGTTTATGAACAAGTTCGTTTATAAGCTCGTTTATCAACTCGTTCATTTATTAAATGAACAAGCTCGTTTACCCGATTCTCCTTTTATTTTTATTTTTTTGCATTTTAAATATTGGTGAATATAAGAAGTAAATTGAACACATGATAAAAGTTATATTTTAAACTATGAATATTAAGGAGTTTAAGCACCAATAGTGTAATTTTATCATTTTTCTTTAGCTTGCAAATGAAACTAAAAGTCAAATATATACATATATATATATATATAAACGAACGATAAACACACGCTAAATGAACATGTTCATGAACACGTTCGTGAGCATATAAACGAAAGCTAAACGAACACGTTCGTGAACATATAAATGAACATGGTCGCGAACATTAAATGAACGTGTTCGTGAGCAATAAATAAACGAACACGAACACCTTCATAAATAAATAAACGAACACGATATTGAAAACTTAAATGAACATGAACCGAACAAGATCTCCTTCAAAAATAAATAAACAAACACGAACATATCCTTATTCGTTCGAACTCGGTTCATTTACACTCCTAATCCTAACGAAGATAAGTCACGTCCTTATTGGCTTATATGTATATATATACTTTGACGGTCCACTAGAGTTTTATCGACTTAATTATATAATTAACTTTTATTTTTAGTTACTTATTGTTGTGACGAACGAATTTAATGTATATATACTTTGACGGTCCACTAGGGTTCATAAATTATTAATTTTTTTTGAATAATATTATTTTTTAAGTTTTTAATTTGGAATTTTTATATACGTCAAGTATAAATATCAACTCCTTTTGGTTTCAACCTTTTTTTTATTTTTTTAATACCGACTTTTTGTCTTTATATATTTAATTAATTAGTTTATAATTTTGTTGTACGGTAGCTTTTAAGTTAAAAGTATGCAATTTTTCCTCCATGCCAGCACACATTTATATATGACCTAATTTTTTATTTTGTTTTTTTAATTAAGATTATAAGATATAATTAGATCTAATAAAACTATTAAATAACATAATTTCATTCTCATTTAATAATTATCGTAACAATATTGTTTATTATCTTGTATTATAAATGGTACCTTAATAAAGCATTATAGCCTCGCGGATATTCCTCAATTTATTCTTTGCATTAACACTCAATGGAAAGCATTGTATTAAAAGGAAAGCTACATCAGTTGACTTTCATTTACGTACCCACAAGCTGGCATTAGATATACACCAACATGCCAGACTGATTTTATATCGCGGGACGAAATTGAATTTTAAAATTTTAAGGACGAAAACATATTTTTAATAAAATTATATAAAAAAATTAAAATATAAAGTAATTTTA